TTTTGATATAGAATCATTAATTACGTATACAAACCTTAAAAAAAACGTATTATTTCCTTATTTCGATTTCTTATAGGGTAACAGTTATACTACATAAAATAAAAGAGCATAGTGGTAATATCTATAACAAAATTGTTAATAATCTCACAAATAAAAGAATACTTATATCTATCTTCACAATGATTTTTTGAAAATCCCTGATATTCATATTAAATTCTAATTCAATAATATAATTATTGAATCCTCTATATGCTACTTCATAAAACATATTTTTAATGCCTTGACTTTCTGCTATATTAAATTTATAAAGAAATAAGAATATTAGATGCCTTACTAGATAATCACTAATTTATTAAATACTTTCTAAACAATTTTTTCTTTTAATCAACTAAGTTTTGTTATTTTATTTAAACAATGCAATCTTTGAATATTTATTATTAAAATATTTATGAGTGAATTGCTGATATTATTAAAACTAATTATTTTATAGTCTGACTTATATAAGAATTAGATATAATATTACTTTAGAAATACCTGATCATTTATAATCATGTGATGTCTACTTTATAATTTTGAATGAAATTATTTTAAAGTTAAATCTCAGATAGTGAAATTAGTTTCTAAAAATTGTTTACCTTCTCATTTCACAAAGATTTTATATTAACTATATTTTCTCTTAAACTTATATTTTACACATTTTAATAATATTTTTAGTTTACTGACCAATATCATTTATGAAGCAATATTTCTTTTCTTTATTAAAAGTCTTATATTTCTGATCAGTTTACACAAGAAATCTAGCAATATTCTTATAATATTTATAATAATATTATTCTATAAAAAAATATATACAGATATTTGGCTTTTATAATATTTGTTAATTAATGCTAAAGAAGTAATTAATAATATTACTTCTAAAATAAAATGTAAAAAATGATAAAGCAAAAAGTTGCCTCATAAATAATAGTAAATTCTTATTTTGAATTAAAAACTCTAAATTCAATTTATTCTTGCATATGAATATAAATAATCTGACATTTCTTTTTTTAGTTTAATAAATTTAGTAATTATTGAATTAGATTTTTTGGATCTAAAAGAGGATTGGTGATAGTTGATTAATCTAGATAGATAGGTTTATTTACAAATTCTATCATCAGAAGATAGCTAACATTTAACTTAGATTTTTAGATAGTTATTATTTTGTTTTATTTTTATTACTTGTAATTTCTTTTATTTTCTTCATAATAGTCTAATTTTCTTAATAAAATCATTGGCAGAAACACATTATAGAAAAAAACAGATTTTACAAAAAAGATCTGATGATCCTATTTTTGTTGATAAACACTATTATAAATTACATTGCAATAGATCTTAGTTTAGCTTCTAACCAAGACAAATTATAATAAATTAATTTATGGAATTTAACAGTTTGATTTTAAAAATGAATTTTATAGGGTACATACTAAAGATAGGCATCATAATTAAGAAGTTGCAACTTGGTTGCAACTCCTTATAAATTTATTTTAATATAAAATTCATAAATAGTTGCAA